AGTACTGACAACATTTGGAGGTTACTGAGGTTTGTCCAAAAAGTCGCTAAAATTGTCGCTAGTCGCTTTTTTGAAAAAATGTCGCTAAAGGGGTCTGAAAAGTCGCTAAAAATAGCGACAAAGGCGCTAAGTTGGCAACACTGATATCAATATCCACGGCGATATCCGCATTATTCCGCAACGGATTGAAGCGCGCGTCCGAGTGAAGACACAGCGGTGCGCGAGCCGTATCCGCGCCACTGATCGCAGCTGCAACGAGCACTTTGATCACTTGATTTAAAAAACACATTTCATGTACAGTTTTTGATGTATTAATATTTAGTAAAACACATATCAGTGACATGATGGGTTTTAACTTAGATTTTGGGTAACTGCACAACTGACATATGACTTTAAGCGCACCGCCAACGGTGTGTGTGTGTGTGTGTGTGTGTGTGTAACCATAGCGACAAAACAACCAACTTTCGGATCCTGGACTTTAGCTTATAATTTCGTTTTTAAAAATATAATTATGTATTTAAAAGTTGCAGAATGTATTCATTTGGAGACTTCGAAATCGGCAGAGCAGGCAATGCAAAACAAAATCTTACAAGTTATTGCTTAGCTTCAACAACACTATTCTGTTTTTTCCCCCCTCCGGTCTCGGTCTTGGTCTCGACTTGGTCTGTCTTGGTCTTGTCTTGGTCTTGATACCCTCGTCTTGGTAGTGTCTTGGTCTCGGTTTAGGCGGCCTTGACTACAAGTCTATTATTGAGGTAGCAGCCCGGTATAGAGTGAAAATGAATTAAAGTGCAACTCTGTGCAAAAGATGCGACACACAAGTGTTTGACCAGTCTCTGAGTATTTAGGAGTCTGATGGCTTGGGGGAAGAAGCTATTACACAGTCTGGCCCGAATGCTACGGTACCTCTTGCCAGATGGCAGGAGGTTGAAGAGTTTATGTGAGGGGTGTGTGGTCATCCACAATGCTGGTTGCTTTGCCGATGCAGCGTTTTATGTAGGCCTTTGATGGTGGGAAGAGAGACCCCGATGATCTTCTTAACACCATTGCTGAGTATTCTCTCCTTAAAAATGCAGTGAACCAATACGCTGAAAAAAAGTTTGAAATCACTGGTGTTTCTGACGTCACAAACAAACTACCTTGAAAGTGAAACCAATCAAGTCAACGTGTGATCGTCACCGAGTGGATCTCTGAGCTGGTGTCAGTCAGTGGAGGCGGGGCTAGGGTGAACACCCGTCCCGCTTTATGTTGTACCGCACACCATTTTCACCCCTTGTCCCGCACGTTGCATATAGAGAAAATGTCTCGCATTTTCATCAGTCTGTTGGTTTTTAATTATCATATTAAGAAAACGTGCCTAAGAAAACGTGCCTTCTTTTGCCTTTTTAAGAAAGCATTTTATTTATTCTTTTTGTGGCGTAGTTTTTCACCTATTAACAGCGCTTCGTCAGAAGTACAAATACAACAGCCGTTTTTAAAATCATATCCAATAGTTGAAAAGAAAGGAGTAAACACGCTCACTAGTAGGTTGTGACGGCTGTCAATCAAAATGTGGAGTGGTGATTCGTTCCATGTGTTCCCTGTCAGAAAACAAATGGATAATTCGGTAAATGAACATTTTAACTTAACAGAATTTATCAACTTCTTGCCTGGTGTTGTTGTTTTAATTCACATCCTTTCTAAAAAAAATATGAAAGTTTTTGGTTTAATATATTCTTAATATAGCCTATAAGACTGTCAATGAACTAATTTCATGTTGTTTTATATTTTATTTGTTCATTATTTATTTTGTTGGATTTTAGTTGGACTTGGACAGAACTGTTTAAAAAATAGTTATCTGCATGATGCCAGCTGCCTTTGGGCTCAGTGATGTTGAATTTAAATGACATGTAAATGTCATGTTACATTGTGATGTGTTCTGGAAGGGAATAAAGAACAAAGTATTTCTATCAGCTGAAATGCAGAATACAAATGTTTTTATTAAGTTTAGACATTATATAACCGTTTCAGGTTATGTTTTAGTGTTGACATGTCCCACACAAACTTAGTAATCGTCCCACATTTGGTTTGTTTGATGGTGGTCACTCTAGACGGGGCTAATTTGCATATTCATAGAACCGTATACTAAATGAGGCAAGGGTGTAGAGTTACATTCAAGCTATTTTAAGGCATGAAGAATCTTTTTTCTTTAAATATGTAATTTTGTTGATCAAATATGAGTTTTAAGGGATACTGACTACAGGGGGACTTTAAGGCTCATTTCATACCTGTCAATAATAGCATAGAGTCCCTTGTAGGCAGTCAGCAGGACGACCTGTACAGCACTCACATTACACTGGAGAAACCACAGACAACTGGGTTATGATTTTTTTTTTTTTTAAATAAAACAAAACATTAAATGAATTAAATAATAAATATATATATATTTTTTATAATTTTTTTTTTTTTTTTTAATTCATAAGCTGTCTGTAATGGTAAGAGTTAGGGTGAATTAATTATTATTAGCTTAACTGAACATAAATAGAAGTCAATGAGATGTCCACACAAATACGGTATACTATTTGGAATCGAAAATCGATTCCAACTCTGGAATCGGATACTTGTTATAAAAATAAAAATTTGAATCCTCTTATTGATTCCCTTTTCTGCATTTTAATATGACTTTAAACCATTCAAGTGCAAGAAGACCCACTTGTTGTTTTCTGTGCTGCACACACTTCCAAAGTGCGTGCACAGAAAAAAATATTTTAATGTGATTTTAAATCAATCAAGCGCAAGAAGACTCACGTGCTGTTTTCTGTATTGCGCACATCCAAAAGGTGCGCACAGAACGCCACCTCTCATACTGTATAGGCTACTACTCGATACTGAACTGAGTTCTCTTCCGCATCTTTTTGCACTTGAACGGACGAATACACACAAAAATATGTCAAAATATCCTCGTAAACACAGTCGGTTATATCTTAAGTGAACATAAACACTTGACAAAGAAAATGCATAACTGTATATTGGATTGCAGCTCTTAAAGTGCCAGCAGCCTAATATTCCTGCTGCCGTCACTGTAATGCTAATCAAATAACAAAAGACATAGAGAAAATTCCCTCGCTGTTCTTGACTGAATACTTTTGTAACCATATTTGTAATGTATACCTTATTTATAAAGTGCAGTGTTATTTTATCGGAATCGATAAGCAGCATCTGAATCGGAATCGCTAAAATTCAAACGATACCCAACCCTAACTGCATGTGAATAAGTCTATGCAGCCTTGCATCTCTATTTAGTGTGACTGTCTGACATTTTCACTTTAAACTCCTCAGCAAATGCAAAGAGCGATAAATGCCAGCACAGGTTCAGAGACGCCTCCCTATCTGACCTATGCAGTGGGCTTCAACCACTGATTTATTTGTCTCCCACAATATGCAATGGCATTACACAATTCACTCCAGTCTTACGGAAGCATATAGAAAAATCAAGGGAAGACGAGTAGTCTTGTATCTGTATGAATTTCTGAGCAAGGTTCAAGTTCAAGAGCTGGAAATGGAGCGAGTACGTGAGCGAGAAAGCGGGGGGTCAGGAGAGATACAAATCCTTTTTGAGAGAGCTCTATAAAGAGGAACAGCTGCACTGTGGGTAAACAGCCACATCAGGTTTCTGATGATTTAATGGTTCCAGGATTGCTGATCTCAGCCTTGACTTGGTTCCATCCCTGCACGCATGCAGTCCCGCATGGATGTCCGCGGACAGGGCTGCTCCTTTCTGAACATCTTCACATATTATTTCAATGCTTGCACTTTAATGTTTTTGTATTGCAATTATTCATTTAACAATATTTTTAGTTTACCCAATAAATAAGAAATCTGAAAACTATACTACATATAAGCATTTTCACTTGTGGACTTTTGGACCCCAGTGCACAACCAAAAATATGATAAAACACACAATAATCGCAGTAAACTTTAGGTAGGTACTGTAAAACACATGGTCTGATCTGCCCGGTGAGTGAGTGTTCAGTTACCGGCACGTTCACTTTGCCCATTTGGATTAGAATTACGTAACTGGAATGCTATTCTGAACACAGGCCCATGGATGGAAGTGTATTGGCCATGAGTAAATAGCTCTTGAATATTTTCCAGCCAGAAAATATTCCCCTACAGATACACAACAGGTGCTCATAACACTGCTATTTGTTTTGTTTCCTGCTATCAACCTTTGCTCTCCATTCATCCTCATGCCAAGAGTGTAGACAAGACTCTGTGCTAATGTACTACTCACACACCATGTTTCATAAAACAAAACTACATGCTTAGTACAGTGACTGTAAAATTTCACAGTGTGCAATAATATATAGTACTCAGATATACAGTAAACAGAGATAGACAGACGGATGAATGGACAGACAGATGATAGATAGATAGATAGATAGATAGATAGATAGATAGATAGATAGATAGATAGATAGATAGATAGATAGATAGATAGATAAAAAGTTTAATGACACTTGATTGCATTTGATAATTTTAACTTTTATTGTATTGTGAAAATGTTATTATCTGTAGAACTCAATCATTTTAAAAATAAAAAAAATCAGTTACAAAATGCACATTAAATTTCAAATTGGATTACTTCGACACTAATACTCTATTGTAGACTATATGAAAACTGACAATATAGGCATATTCTATATAAATGCGTATTCTGATTTCTATCTATTAAATTAGAAATACACATGCTCGTTATGATATACAATTGTTTCTACTCACAAAACTACATCACATTTTTGTGCATCACAAAAATATTGTGCCTCTAATCTGAACATTTTTCACTCTATACATTCCAATTTGGAATAAAAGCTGACAGAATATTACACCAATATGGCAAAATCATAAATGTACAAACTCTCTCAGATGCTGAGGGTTCTTCAGAATTAAACATGTAGACGTCAATGGTCAGTTTCAAGAGGTGGATTCTTCTTACATCAGAAAAACTGTCCTGTGATTCTGGCGACTTCACCAACTTGCAATCAACCAGTTCTGGATGTGACACAGCGTTTCATAGTCCACAAGTCTGGAGTAAAGCATGCATGGTCCTTTAGCAGTGTCATTCTGCGTTCTGAGATCTGAATCTTCCTGCGTTTGATCTTCTACTGGAGTTTAATATTTTGTGGCAGCAAGTGAAGGAGAACTCCATTGGAAATGCAGCCTCAGTTCTGCTGTTTAATCAGAGAAAAGACAGACATAATCCTTAGTGCAATCTCAGCTAGGGTAAAGGCTGTGTTTAAATATATCTGTAAGTGTGTGTGTGTGTGTACCTCAGTGTATGCTGGAGGAGGGGGAAGCTGATACTCGCTAATATGCATGAAGATAGGACTGTCATCCTCGTCGTAATCATCCAGGAGAGGAATGAAGGAACTATCCATGCGGTTGTCCCGGGAGATCTCGCTGTAGCTGGGCGGAGAAGACGGGAGCGACACGCAGGTGCTGGAAGTGGCACTGCCATCCTGGCTGCTCATGCTGCTGGTCCGACTGTTCATGCCGTTGTAGGGGATCGTCCCGATGACCAGAGGCAGTTCTAGGATCAGCTTCTCGCTTCCTGGGATGTGCACAGAGATCTAAACCCCGAGAGAGAGAGCATAGAGGTTAACCTCTGATCCGCATGTACCAGTGGAGTCTGAAGCATCTGCATTGATTATCATGAATATAACTTACCCTCAGAGAGTAGTCAACGTGGATAATGTCACAGCCCAGGATGGTGGGCTTCAGCTTGGGCACACGGAGGACTCTCGCCTGCCACACGTCACGCATGCCAGATATGATGTGGTTGCCCCGGACAGAAGTGAGTTTCTCGTGAAACACTTTGGTGCGGCCGTTCGCCAGATAAATGTGCTTGGCTATGATGGCGGCTTTAGGAACGATGATCCGAGAGCAGGTGTTCTCGAACTGAGCGTCGATGCAAATGTCTTCTCCTTCGCTGTAACCCTTCCGGCCTATGTGAGCGGCCACGGAAACGCTGCCGTCGGGAATAAACATGCAGGTGACTTTCTTCTGATTCGCTCCTGCAACTGGAGCCTGAGAGGAAGCAGAAAGTACTAAAGTTCTTACTCACGTTTTAACCATGTAAATTTCATAGATATTTGTGTGACCTCTTTGGAATTACTCACCATGAGATCTTGGGTGTTGACATCAATGGGTTCCTCCACCTCGAAATATCGCTTGCATTCTGCATACGACTGGCCTGATTTCTCTATGACGGCCTTCACGTAGTACTGGACTGAGCCAAACTTTCCCACATACGAGGAAACCAGGCACCTGTTTTGAAAGGTCTTGCGTTAAAATATTAATATTTTAATGCAATATTTGTAATAGGAATTTTCAGAAAGAAACCCACCCTGCCTGAGGAAGTTCGAAACCAAACATGAACTCGTATTTGTTTCCAGGCCTGAGAGTGATGGAGCCATCTGCATCTGTGGAGACGAGATTGTGCTTTAAGAAACACTCCAAAGTCATCATTTTTACTCAGCCTTATGTCTTTTGCATTTTCAATTTAAAAAGGGTTTTTCAATAAACAATTCGTAAACTTACATTTGTCCCCTCCCCAACCCAACCCCCCATTCATTGAGTTATCCCCTTTTGATTTTCATTCTATGCACAAATAACTAAATTCAACCCACACCAAAATTAGAGTCGAAATAAATGGGAGAAAAATATCTGTCTACCTTGTTCAAACTACAATAGTAGGCCTAGGTTAAAGGAGCACGACTAGGCCTAGTTATGGGGCTTGAAACCACCCAAAAGAAGTTAAAACAGAGGTTAGAGGTCTTAAAATGATGTATGCTGTTTTACATTTAGGTTTTAAAACGTTTTAATGACAACTAAAGTAAGATTTACAGGTTAGTCAGAGTGCGCTAAGTAGAGCAGTCTCGTTTAAGGAGGTTACTATAGCAACAGTAGCTGGACAGGCACAGGCACAATTACTGACAGAAAAAGTAACGTTAGACCCTCTTGAATTCACTCAAAAGTTTGTGCGAGTCTCACCTGTTGGCTGATGATCGAGGTGAAGAATTTCTTCATATTTCAGGTACTCAATCTCCTCCCTGCAGCGCAGCTTTCCTTTATTATAATCGACTTTAGCACATCCGATTCCGAAGAGTTTAACGGCGGAAATCCGCACCGCCTCCGCCACCTCCACGATCACCCGCCCGGCCACTTTATCTCCGCCGCTATACGAGCTCTTGTTCGGGTCACTCAACTGAACTTCTAAGGTCTTGGGTTTCTTTGTCAGTACGCCCATTTTTCTATTTTATTAATTTTGCGAACAAGAATTCCAGTAGTAATTAGCAGTATTCCACTAATAGTTCTATTAACGCTCTCTTTTCGGTTATCAAAGTAACTGACTGAATTGATCAGTTCAGCAACAAACTCACCAGTACGTGCTGGTGTTATTTTCTGTTGTAATATTATTTTCGATTGGATGTTGGTGACTCTGTTCTGTCAGTAAACACTGAGTGGGAGTAGGTGGTTATATAGTTCACACGGCCGCTCTGCTGATGATGCGAGCTGGACACACATGGGCATCAGTGGTGGGGTCCCACATGCTCCCCGTGGATCGCCACAGGCGCGTCTCTCTCATAGGACACACGGACTGTTTGCGCCCACTCGGGCCAATGGCAACCTAGCCAGAGCGCGTGGACAGCTCGTGGGTAAGGGGCGGGAGTCTTTGAGGAGGTGGAATGATTATATGGAGCAGGGGTGGAGTATGTGCCCTGCTCCAAAACACTCCTGTGACTCATTCATAATTAGTGGGGATTTCTTTCTACATAACAAATGCATTTATACCTGAACTGAATGACACCAAAGAATCAAGTGTTTCTAGACAGCCCAGTTTACCCTAACAAAAATGACTGTGGCTGTACTATGGTAAAGAAATAGTATCGGATGGTTATACTATGTTAATTTGATTTTTTTTAAAGTACCAAAAAGTTTATGATTTTGGACATATAGCACAGTAGTAATGTGGTATACTTAGTTCCAGATATGGTATGGTATATGCATTTACTTCTGTCACTGTACTATGGTACTGCCACAGTAGGTTTATGTGAGGATATGCCATACTACCGAATGATAACCAAATGCATTTGCCACGGTGTTTAAATGGCACTAGGTAGGCCACCCTCAGATAATGCCATGTCATTCACCTGGTACATGGCCAAAAACCACATTATTGCCTTTGCACATGTCCAATACTCCATGTTATTGCATTGGTGCATATCCAAAAACCATGGTATTGCCCTGGTACATGTCCAAAAACATTGTATTACATTGTATTTGTGGTATTTTGAGAGATATCTTACTATAGATATCTGACAGATTAGACATGTATAGTTAAGTCCAGTGGTCATCAGAGATGACCAAACGAATGCAACCATGAACAGTCCACATGCTCTGAAACGTGTTACAGAGACTATTCACATGGACTGTTCTGATTGGATGAGCACTGCCATCTGCTGACTAATCCAAAACACTTCACTGCATGAGCCCCTACAAAAAGTTTAGGAGTCCTCTGATTATATAACCCCGTTCGTCTGTCATCACAGTGATCGGAGGAGCCTATATAAACAAACAGCTGCTTACCTCATTCATTATGCTGTCCATCCATCTCCAGAGTTACAATCCTGTCCGAAGAGAGTGGGATATTGCTCAACTCCCTCTGTTATGGATGGCTGTCTGTGTACTTTTTAACACCTGTTGTTCCATCCTATATTATATCATATGAACATAAAACTAGCATATACTATATAGTGAATGGTACTTTTAAGGTAAGAGTGCAGGGAAAAGACAGTTTTAAATTACATAACACAGAGTAATATAATATAAACATTCAAGCTCTTCCAAACGAACACCATTCAGTGTCACCCAAGTGTGAAAGACCCCACCAATTTTTGATAATTCACAAGAAGTGAAACCTCCATCACCTGTGATCCTCAAACAGATTAATCTACAGCCTCCATCTCACAGCTGCTGAAAACTATAGTTTACCAGCATAGTTTTAACTTTAAACAACAGATGCGAACAGAGAATACCACAGATCCATTATCCTGGTCTTCCACAGGTTTCAGAGTCTCAGGGCAATGAAGATCTATGAGAGAAAAATTACTGAAAAGAAACATTGATTCTCATGGTAAATTTCTCAGACACATATTATATCCATAATGTTCTGAAATCATAAGAACTAGTTTGACAGGGAAATGATTCAATACTCTTTATTTTAGTTTTGAGAAAGTGATTGTTGCAATTTGCCATGAACTGCTTTATTCTACAGTACGTCTCCAGTGTTATTATTGTTAACACACTGAAACCTCCACTGAAAAACATGTTCATGACACCAATACGGAGGCCCAAACCTGCAGATATTCAAAATAAATAAATAAATGTCATAATGGGAAAATTAATAAAGTAATAAAATGACTTGGAAAAAAAAACAAATACAATTAGTTTTAGTTCAATTTAGTCCTGAATTTATTTGTGTATTTCTGTTTCCTTTAGTGCTGGCAAATCGATTAATCGCAATTAAAAATATAGGTAACACTTTACAATAAGGTTTCATTGGTTAACTACTTGTCTTTAGGTAACATGAACTAGGAATGAACAATACTTCTACAGCATTTATTAATCTTAATGTTTATTTCAGAATTGTCTAATTATTAAAATCAAAATTATTTGTTAACATTAGTTAATGCACTGTGAACTAACATGAACAGACAATGAACAACTGCATTTTTATTAACTAACATTAACAAAGATGAATGAATACTGTAACAAATATATTGCTCGTTGTTAGTTTAGGTAATACATTAACAGATGTTAATGAATAAGACCTTATTGTAAAGTGTTACCAAAATGTATTTAAATCATTTCAGGTAATGCATTAACTTTGGCAGCCCTATACAAAACATGAATAACCCTGATGACCATCATTAATTAATACTTTGTAGGCCAGCATATGAAAATAACCTGCTCTGTGGAAATATTTAACATTTTTTCATTATAATAAATACACTCCTGCAAAAAGTTAATCCACCTTTGAGAAAACATACACGAGCTGCATGAGCAAATATCATTCAAATTTACATTTTTGCAAAGGTTATTCAAGTTTATCCTGCTAAAAATCTTCACAAATATGTTACATTTATAATTCACACACATGTGCGTTTAACACTGAAACAAACACAATAAAATTCTTAACAAGGCCGTTCCAGACAGCCTCTACTCACAAAACCCAAGCCTCCAAACCACTGAGATGTAAACATTGACCAATAGTATAAATACCCTTTAAATATCACATAAGGCCTGCTTTAGTGCAGTGTTTTTGATGTCACACGGGGCCCAAAATAGTGTGTCTGAGTGTCTCTGTGAGGACGCTTAAGGCCAGCACCACCGGCAGTGACGGAGGGTTAGTTCCTGCCCTGTCCGTCAGCAGGTGAACCCTATCAGGGTCAGAGATCATCGCACGAGCGTCCTCTAAAGCAGCCACAGCTGATGCACTGGAGTTCACGTCCCCAGTGACCTGTAGGTCAAACAGGCAAGCCTGGAAATACACATCCCGCACCGGAAGAAGTGAGGAGCAGTGCGAGTACGCAGGCGAGGACGGATGAGCGTGTGGCATCTCCAGGCGCTGTGAGAACGGACACCCCCATACGCACAACTGCAGGTCATGCTCGGGTGCATAGGACTCCACGATCGCACGAGGCGAGCGCACGGACAGACTCAGCGCCCGGCCGACCTGACGCACCACTAGCGTCGTCCCGATGTGAGTCGCCCAGATCTCAGCGTGTCTGCCTGGGTCGTGAGAGTGAATGCGCAGGCTCTGGTGCCCTCTGCGATCGCCGCTGGTCACAGACCCATCCACGAACGCCGGGGGGACGTTATCCAGCTCTGCTTGATATATCTGCTGCTCTGCACATTCACGCCAGTTCTTCAAGATAACCGTGATCTGATGAGGAAACAGACCTGAGAAATGTCAGCTGCAGGACAGTAAAACAGGAGTGATTCTAAACCCGAGCACATATCCCATTATGCATGTCCTATTAATTATTCATCGCAATTCATCATTAGATGTCAGGCTGTAGAATATCATTACCTCAACCCAGTGTGTTTGAAAGCACTGAAGAGCAGCGCCGAAAGAAGACAAATCTGTTATCTCCCTCTCAGCTGGACAGGCTCGTATAAGGGAATAAGAACAGCCTTTATTAAGATCGGCTGTTAATAAAGTAATGCTGGAGCCTTTAATATGGCAATAAAAAAGTGGGACTGACTGAAAATGTGGAGTGTTTTAACAGATAGCCTCGTGTACACTCTTAAAAATGAAGGCATCTGTGATTCAGTGAAGAACCTTTAACATTCATGAAACCTTTTAATAACTGTTCCCTGAAAGGTCGCCAAAAAATCCCACTCTTGAAACCTCTACATTGTACCATAATATTTTGGTTACACTTTCTTTTAAGGTGTCTTTGTTACAGTGTAATTATACATTGAAGTACTGAGTGATATTAATTAACTACATAGGGTTAGGAAAGGGGTTTGGCTTAGGGTTAGTTGCATGTAATTATACATAATTTATAGTTATTGTGTACATGTGTAACAAAGACACTGTAAAATAAAGTGTTACCAACATTTCTAGTCAGTGTTTTATTTTGATGGTGTTTTTTTATTATTTATGATTTAAGCTTTTCATCAACTCACGAAAACCCAGTTTGGGAATCCCAAACATAAACAATAAGAGAATGTCTGACCAGCATGTCAAAAGGCCAACAGTTTGTTTTGGTTGTATATGCTGTTTAGGGAAGGAGTCCTCTGAAACAGCTGATACCACAATAAGCCCAATATGGAAACTAAAATTCAAACCACTGGGTAGAATTTTTTTTATTTTATTTTTTATTGCACAGCATCATCAGTTCTCAACTGGCTGTACAGAATGCACTAATAAAAATAAGCCAAATATTTGTTATTAGAATTTCTAATAACATTTCAAAACAAATACGTGCAGAATATTTTATAGCCATAACTCTTAAATAAAACAGAATGAATCTAATTAAGTCTCATATAAAAAAAATGTGCATCTTTTACCGATTTGATGCTACCTGCATCAACTTGCTAATTCATAATCACATCTTGTTTCCAGGCAAACTGGTGCTCCCAAAAGTAGTATAAAGCCAGTAAATCATATTAAATTAAAACCGAAACTATCTAATGTAATAACTAATAAGCCTACCAACAGCACAGATCTCAAACCTAACGGGTCCGATTTGAGCGTCGGTTGCATTTAAATATTTAAACTTTTACGGCTGGACTGTATGCAACCACCTGTGACCTGACTGGATGCAATGTATTATAATCAAAAGTATGAGCACGAGATGAGAACTACCAATATTTTTTAAACCAATACATCTTCTAATATCAGCTCAAAATATCAAAGATAATTCTGACTGGACAGAATCAGTCTGAAGCTAA